AGAGATGCATGCACTATCGTTCATACTTATATTTTTCAGTTGCTGACTTCTTCAAACGGCTCATTTTTTATTTGACATTTTTTTGTTGCCGAGACCAGCTCCACAGTTGCCTTCTTTCGGTCTTGAAAAAAAAGAAAAAATTCGATCTGTACTCTGTTGCTACCTTAGCACTATATTCAAAATGACTGTTGCATCGCTTCAGCATTCAACATAAAATCAATCTATTCGACTTCTTACAAGAAGCAAGTTTCTTATTTAATGGTTTCTGAAACAATACTACATTCAACATCTTCTGCTTTTCTTCCGTACTGCATACAATAAACAAATCGATATCACTCACTGTCATTGGCCTGGAAACAATGGCAATGCTTGTAGGATATCAACAACGTTTGTAGGAACTATGGTACTTTATGTTTCTTTGTGCGGACAGCTGTGTCGCTTCGGTGAACATATTATGCGTACTATTTTTATTTATATATCTACGCATATTTTACTAAACACATTCGACAACGATGACTTCCTGTAAATATCGTCATCTGAAAACTAAAGCAGCTAATTTCGTTTATGCAATTCATTGATAACAGTTGTTAGCATCAAAGTTCCTGTAGCATTGATCTCGTCAACGTCGGCGGAAGCCGGATCGTACGCTCGTTCATCAGAGCAAGATTAAGAAGATCGAAAGCATATTGCGTGTTCCCTTGCAATTGTGTGTATTGTACGTAACGTCGAGGTAGTGACCAATCGCTCCATCCATGCCAGTGAATCGACTTCGTCCGATCAGATAATACACAACATGCTGAAAACACTTCACAATGTTTTTCTTGGGGATCGAAACAGACGGTCGCCCCACATCCACGGTTTAGGTTTGCGGTCAGTGCGTCCCTAGGCAAGCTGCAAATTCATAAAATGGCTCTTTGGTCCTGATTATCAATCCCTTGATGCGGTTCAAGGTTCATAACGGGTCTTCGCGTCTAAAGACAATGCATTCAATTGTATTTCGTCCAGGCTGAGCCATGATTTCGGCTGTTGTTCTTCTTCTGTAACACAGCTAATGGGGTTCAATTGGTGAACAGCATGTCATAAGTCGTCTTCTTTTCTTCAGATGGTAGCTTGTCGACTTAACAACAAATTTCACCAAAAAATCTGTTCATATCGTCACGATAAGGTTTTGCTGCTTCGGCCTAAAAAGTGAGTTCATACAACACGTCAGATGTAGTCCAACGAGATATTCAGATTAAATCGAGTAAAATCGCTTTAGCAATCAGAATTCTTTAAAGTCTGAGATTCGAATTTAAAAAAAAAACTGTGGCGCAATTAGTAACTATGGAATTCGACGTACTCTTTTTCATCCCAGTTAAGTGATGTACCCTCGAGCACTCGGTAACACAAAAATAAAGACTAGTTGAAATTCCGAAGCTTCTAGTCAGATTAGATCGATTAGTTTTTCCCAACCCGCCAAGCTTGGCTATTCCATATATTGAAGCAAGACAGCATTTTTCTAACTTTATTTGCCTAATGCTTGTTTTTGATCACGAAAGGAGTGCCCACAATTTCAGGCCATTAAAAGCACATCGACGCAAATGACCGTTGTGCACATGAGCAGAGGTTTAAGCATTGTACGGAAGAACAGCCATTATGACAGCAAGGAGAAAGAAATCAAAGGGTATTAGAAGAAATGAATGAATTGCAATGGTGATGACGGTGCTGTGGAACATGGTGATGATGTTTATATACAGACGACTTTGACATGTGTGTAAAAATGAAGGGATTAGGTGCGTACAACAAGAAGAACACGAAGACGCCAGAAAAAAATGTTGGGGGTGGGATGAGGCATGTTGATCAGACTGACGTCAGTTTCAATCTTCTCTCCTAATTCTGTTCAAGGTGTCAGCATATTATGTGATAATTCGTACTGGCAGTGAAACAACGACAAGTCCCCTTTCAAATTTCAAATATGTAAGAAAGACACAGCATTTCCTGTGTAGGTTCACGAAATTATATGTACTAACTACTTTCTCAAATAATCTTCCATATGATAAAACACTCAGGAAAGAGTTTTGCTCATATATGCATAAAGTTTATTGTACCGGCACGAAATAAGACAGAATCTGCGCTAAGTGCATAATTTCTGTTACGAACGAGCGATTTGAACCGCGCAACAATAATAAAGCCAGTATTCAGGACATGCTTTGATAGCCTAGCGTCGTATGTGGGTTAGCTATCATCTGGAATCGTTGCTTGGATCACCAAAGCGCGTGTGCATTTTTTTGTCTTGTTCATTTGTATCTCCTCTTTGAAGGATGGGAAAAACGAGAAATGCTAAATGAGGTACGGTGGCACACAAGGAGGTTAGCTTTGAATTCAGTGGGCGCCGGGTTCGAACCATGAAAAAAGGCAAAATTTGTCTTAACTAATATTTACCTTGAGCACGGAGTTTACCTCACGTTACCTCGACGCAATCACTCGAGAAACGAATACAAGTCGTTAAATTGCGATGATAACATAATATTCAGGGGTGTTCGTTGCGGAACGGGCGAAATTTACGGCCATGTTGTGCGATGTGAATGCCACTTGTATATGCTTCACTGCGACCTACCTGATGGCTAACTATCAAGTGATAGTAAGCAACTACAGTGTGTTAA